ATTAGTATAATTACCCACACTCGGTACCTTTGAAAAAGTCTAACACCTCGGGCGTGTTAGACTTTTCCAAAGGTACCTTGTGTGGGTAATTCTTACTAATGCCCTTACTGCTGTGTATTATTTGTATAGTATTCAATACCTCTTCATTTACAGAAAACAATCCAATGAGAAAGAAGTTAAATCTTACTTTGTATTAGAACTTAACTCAGTTTAAATATCTTTGCATTAAACAAAAAAATAATGAATTGCACTTATGTTTCTCGAGAAACAGAAAGGCATTAACTATGTGCTAAATGATTTTAATCAACTCCTTCTGGCTCTAAGCAAAGGAGGTATTAAAGAAAAGAAGTCGACGTACTTGATCCTATTCTCTGCTGCCCTCTCTAGCTCATCCCTTGATGATTGAGCATCATCTTCTAGCCTGGTTATCACCATCTCAATCTCCTTGTCTCGATCTCTCCTCACCTGCTCCTTCAGTTCTCTCTCTTTGGAGAGCAGCCATGTTTCCTACATCATGAAATATAAAAGAATTAGATAAAATAGGTAACACGCCCTGGGGAGTGTTTCACAAAGACTAAGATCGACTTTAAGTTAGACTTAACTATAGCAGGCTATTCATGCCACTGGTTGCTCTAAACATTGGTCTCTTAATAATTATCTTTAGATATCATTTTGTCCTTCAATAGTGAACTATCAAAAAAGGTCAATTCTGTAGATTTGTGACCACGATTTGTACGTCCTTTGAGAGACCAATACCAATAAATGGTGAGAGCAAACAGTGCCATATTTAAGTCCAACTTAAAGTCAATCTAAGTCTTTATGTAACACTCCCCAGGGGTACTAAGCACAGACTATATCATTATCAATACAATCATCATCATTAGAATTACCAGTATTAATGATTACCATCATAGCCAACATAGCCAAAATAGGAATCTCCTGAACTCAAATTTACTTTACATGTTTTTTACACAGCTGTTTTCTGAAAAAATAGGAATATAGGCGTCATAACACTAGTTTGAAGACAGAAAAATAGGAAGCATTCCTTGTTAATATTGTCATATATTATACAATTAAAAGACACTGGAAATATTAGCATACAATGGCCAGACAAAAGCAAACAAACCTGCTTCTTCATGTAGTTTTCTTCCCATGCCTGCTTCTCTATCCTTAGACGCTCTTCTAAGTCTTTCACCTCAGCCTAGAGTTCAAGAAGAGACAAAAGCAGAATTCCACATAAAGACAATGTAATCAGAGTCATCAATAATGAATATGTTTAAAGCCCCACTGCACTACTTATAGATACTTGCGCCCTCTTTATAACAAACAATGCCTAATCGGTGACCATTGGTCTCCCATGGTCCTCTTTTTCTTATGTTAATTGAGAGCTGATTTGAAACGATGGCCACCTGTCAGTGACTCTGCAGGGTGGTCTAATCCCTCCTGTAAACTAGTACAGATGGGATTTTTTTTTTTTTTTTTTTAAGGAAAGAGATATCCCACCAATAGAAGTTTTTACTTAAACTGTTTAAAAATTAGTTTGTAGACACTAGACAGAGAAAGATTTTGTTGTCGCTGTTGCTTTTGGTTCAGGTGAGAAAAATTGTACAAAAACCGTTGATCTGATTAAAGGGATCCGGTGACTTTCTCTCAGATTCTGAAACAAAATCGTGGATTTAGCTCATGCTGCAATTATATTTATAAATCTTTAGGTCAGTCAGAAACCTTGTGACTTTTACAAGCCAAACGCCTGTCTGAATATCAAGATATTTATGATTGGAAATCGAAACCAAATTTTGCGTTTGCCAAGCAGTTTTCATAACGCTACAGTCTTGGGGAAAACAAGTACGGTAAAACCGGTCACTGAAAGATTTCTACTTTTTTGAGGCACTTCTTGATTATTTTGAAGCGCAATTTTTTTTTTTAGGGATTTAATATAATACAGACACTGATAACACATAGGGCCGTGCATCTCAGATTTAACATTATTAAACGATGCCTTTATGTGAACATTTAAGCAATAAAATTTAATAAAACGATTTTGGTACCTTATCATATACAGGGCACAATCTTACAAATACTATTGGATCTTTCCTTTTGGAAATCTTCTTTCTCTATAGAGACACACTTAAAGACACATTAAAGTGGGCTCTCATGGGAAATTTGGCACCATTCGGGTGTTTACCCAATACAAGTGTTTTTATAAATCTAGAACTGAAGCAATTCTTTTAATTCAAGTTTAATTGTAATACATTAACAGGTTCTCAGAATATTGCAATTACGAGCTTTTTTTCATATACACGTGTGACCCTTTGATCTTTGACCTTATGACCCTAAAATCTAATCAGTTCATTGGCTCTGCAAGATACATATGTGGATATCCCGGGTTTGATAATAATCCATCCGTCAATTCTAATATAAATGCTTTCACAAGCTATTTTTGCATAAATAACAATCCCCATGACCTTTGACGTCATGACCCCAAATTCTAATCAGTTCATAAGCTCTGCAAGATACTTGCTGACCTAAGTTTGGCAGGAATCCATCCATCGGTTCTTGAGATAACGCAATCACAAGCTATACATTATAAGCCCTGTGACCTTTGACCTCATGACCCCAAAATCTTATCTGTTCATTAGCTCTGCAAGATACATACATAGCCTCAGTTTGGGAGGAATCCATAAATCGGTTCTTGAGACAACGCGATCACGAGAACGGGGCGTACAGACGGACGGACAACCTGAAAACATAATGCCTCCAGCTACTTTGTGACAGAGGCATAAAAATGAATAAAATTAATTATATCATACCCTGTGTCTCCTCTCCTGTTCATCCCTAGCCTTCTCATACTCCTCCTTCATGGCGCTGATGGCCTTGTGGCTGTTGCCCTCCATCGTCTGCTGGAGCCGATCCATCTCCTGCCTCTGCCTCCGGGCCTGCTCGTTGATGCGATCCTTCTCCTCCTGGACCTCAGAGTACATCCTCCTCCTCTGCTGTTGGTAGGCGGCCTCCTCCTGCTCCAGCTGCTTCTCGTACCTGCCGCAAAGAGACAAATCAAAGGTTGTTAGGAATCCGTCTTAGGGAGTTCATTTGGCAAGCTATTAAAGTGACTCTGTAACATTGTTGAAGGTTGATGAAAAACTGCATAATTTTTGTATGAAATGTTACTTATTATATTTCTTTTACTTTACTAACCCTCTAACATGCAAAAAATTCTCAAACCACAAACATATTTATGGTTTCTTTGAAGGCATCACTGTGCGGCAGTGACACCCTCTTACAGTAAATTCTCCCAACCATTTCTGAAATTTCCCAACTGTTTTTTCATGAAAATAAGACTTTTAAAAATCTTTCAACACTTAAATGTCTGGAATGGTATATAGAGCCAATTCATTGTTTTGTGAAGATTTATATTCACCCCAAAATGTAATTAAATTGTAATAATATAGTTGGGAGAATTAAAAAATCAATCAGATCAGTTGTTCCAAATTGTTATCATTAATAATATACTGCTTTCACTCAAAGTTTCAGATTATCTTAATGTGCACATCTAGCATTAAAGTCACTACCTTAGGACACCATTCCCTCTCATCTGAGCAATGTTACCAAGTGACAAAATCCCTTTAAAGATACCTGTATTTAGCAGGTTCCTCTCTCTCTCTCTCTTTCTTTTTCACTAGAATATCAAAATACATAGCTGCTTGAGATTTACCTTTGTTTAGCCATCTCTCTTTCCCTAGCACAAGCTGCCTCCTTCTCAATACCAGTTGGTCTCTGAGCTCCTCTATGTGGCGGACGTACTTCCTTCCTTCCTTCCCTCCCTCCCTCCCTCCCTCCCTCCCTCCCTCCCTCCCTCCCTCCCTCCCTCCCTCCCTCCCTCCCTCCCTCCCTCCCTCCCTCCCTCCCTCCCTCCCTCCCTCCCTCCCTCCCTCCCTCCCTCCCTCCCTCCCTCCCTCCCTCCCTCCCTCCCTCCCTCCCTCCCTCCCTCCCTCCCTCCCTCCCTCCCTCCCTCCCTGAATACCATATAGCTGCTTGAAATTTACCTTTGTTTAGCCATCTCCCTTTCCCTGGCACAGGCAGCCTCCTTCTCATCTGCCAGCTGGTCCCTGAGCTCTTCGATGTGACGGACATACTTCTGACCCGCCCTCTCCTCGGCCTGAAGCATCTCAGCTTCGTGAATCGTCTTCACTTTCTTGATCTCGGCCTTGTGGTTTGCAATGAGGCGTTGGATCTCGGGTTCTAGTCCCTTTACGGTGATTTCCTGTAGGAGGACGAGAGAGAATGCAGTGGTAAAATCAAACCTGTCTATAGCGATTGCCCAAGGGAAAGACAAAACGTGATCATTGTAGACAGGTTCCTTTTATACATGTTTCAATGAGAAACCATTTTCAAGGGAACCAAACAATGTGGTCTTTGTAGAGAGGTGGTCACTAAAGCAGGTTTGACTGTAGTTATTTCTATGGTGAGTGTGTACAACTGTGGCACCTTTCCCACCTAATTCTGATGCATTGGTTAGACATTTTCTGATTATCTACTCATTTGCAGTAAGGCTGTAGGCTGTGCCATTGAGGATTAATTGTTATCTCCGTTCGTATACTTTCCTCACTTTGGCATATATCACTCCCTTTTACAAAGAATATTCCTGATGAAATTCTGAGACTACCCTCATTAGAGTTGTTGTGGTCGAGTGGATACGTCGCCGGACTGTCGATCACAAGGTCCGCGGTTCGAGTACCGCCGCTGCACTAATGTCATTTGGCAAGACATTGATCTACATTTTCCGCACTCCACTCAGGTGAAGTAAATGGGTACCTGATAGGAATTTATTCCTTGAAATGCTAGAGCGCCGTATGGCAGCGGTGCTAAAGCCAGGGTAATAATCGGGAGCGCCAGGAGGGTCATATCTGACTGACGTGAGCGCTAAGCAAGGACCCATTATTATTATTATAATGCTAGACTGTACAGTGAGAAGTACAAGTTTAAGCGTGGTTACAAACTATAGGGTTTCTACAGAGTGATTTAGAAGTAAGCTAGCTAAAAAGTGGCAAAAAAAGAGATTTACAAGAAGAAATTTGTTTGTGCTTATAAGAGAATGAATGTTCTTTTCATCTACATGTCTTTCTCTAAATGGTCACTGTCTCTTAAAGCCTGTATGTACTAGTTTGGCCAGGATGGGTTAGACCTCCAGGTCACTGACAGGTGGTTATCTCATCAAATCAGCTCTCAATTAACATAAGAAAAAGGGGACCATGGGGGACCAACGGTCGGGCGCAAGTAGATACAAGTAGTGCAGACAGGCTTTAATACCTTTATCTTCTTTGTCTTCTCATCGATCCATTTCTCTCTTCTCAGTTTCTCCGCTGCTGCTTGTACATCCTTGATCTTGCTCAACTCTCGGGTGTGACTAATGATACGGAACAAAAGAGGGGAAATTCTTTAAAGATAAAGTTGAGTTCTGGTCATGCGATTGTATTGTGAAAGAACGGTGTGGAATCAATCAGAAAAGGTTGATCATCTAGCATATAAGTATTGGTGTGGGTACTGCAAGGTTTTGGAATCATCAAAATGATAAGAAATATGGCCCAGTCTTGGTAAAGTTACAAGCATTGTACACAGAAAGATGTATACCGGTATGGGACTACGCTAACATGTGGCATAAAATTGTTATGCTGTAACATGCCATATTTAGAATATGAAGGCATTCGAAGAGCCATGCTTTTCAGGGAACATGTTTTATCTGATGTTCTTCCACACTTGCATAATACAAATAATAACGCTCACAAAATATTTTTCACCTCTTCCCAGGACTCAGCCTTCTCTTTAAACTTGGTCAATCTTTTTTAATAAAGCGAGGTGATGGAGGTAATAAATATAATTTTTTGAGTCACATGGAATATACCCTAAATGCTTTGGTTGAAATTCACAAAACCCTCATTATAATAACAAATTTTCTATGGATTGTCAAGGGTTATCTTTGTAACATCGTGAAGCAAGAATTTTAAGCACCTATGGTAAAGATTAAAACAACTGAAAAATGAAACAGTTCTTTTTATAATCAATTGAAATACTAAATTGTCATTTGCAAAATCAATGTAAATCCCAAAAGTGTTCAGCTCTCCTGGTTGCATAAATTTATTAAAAAAACATCATTGTAATTGGTCAAACAGTTTTTGAGCGTCAAGTAATGCCTGGCTGGAATGCTCCCCAGGGAGTGGATATTGTGCACACAGTGTGTGCAGGCAAGCACTGAATCCAATGACCGGGGTAATAGTATATCTGTAAAGTGCTTAGAGACATTGCATTAAGCGCTATATAAAGCGGAATATTATTTTTTTTATTTTTTTTATTTTCACTCACCTGTCATCCATGTTCTTTATCCTTCCTTGGTATTTCTTATCTACTTGTTTCAGCTCTGTCACAACACCGTCGTATTTCTCACTCAACGCCTTCTTGTCATCAATGAGCTGTGGAATAACAGACAATTATAATTATAGCAAAAGATTTGTATTTTAGTAACCCGACTATTTCATCCATCAAAAAAGCAATACTTTGTCACATGCCTTTTAACAACATCAAAATTATTAAGTATTCATATTATTATAGCAAGTTTAGTCAAACAAACAAGTGAATACATAAAAATCATATAATGGAATTATTTCATTTCTTCAACTTCAAGGCTTCCTTCATTCTATTCATTTGTTGGATTTACTGAATTCAGTTTCGCAAAGACTAAGATTGACTTGAAGTTGGACTTAACTATGGCATGCCGTTCATGCCACTAGTTCCTCTTAACCATTTCTGGCATTGGTTTCTCGAGGGACGTTCAAAGATGGTAACAAATCTTCAGAATTTACCTTTTTTGATAGCTCATTGTTGAAGGAAAAAATATTGTCTAAAGATCATAATTGAGAGACCAATGGTGAGAGCATCGAGTGGCATAAATGGCCTACCATAGTTAAGTCTAACTTAAAGTTGATCTTAGTCTTGGTAAAACACCACCCTAGTCTTTCTCTCTCGACTTTACCTGATCAATAAATGATAGATGTCTCTTGATGGTTGATTCATATTCTTCCTTCTGGAGCTGGAGCCTCCTCTTGGTCTCCTTGTCCTGCTCCTTGGCATGTCGCACTGTCAGCTCACGCTGCTGATTCTATGGTGGCGATGAAGAGAAAAATAGAAACCTCTCAGAAATTTTGTTTATCCGACGTTGTATTCCCCTCTCTTTCATCGCTAATCTTTTTAAACCCCTTTATATAGTGTTATACTTCTTCTTTTATTTTTTTCATTGGACTCTCGGTCTGTGCCTGATTTATTATTGCACAGCTCGTGAGTCCTCTGATGAAATTGTAATGATGTATACTTATTGTTGTTATTGTTTGTATGTCATTTTTGCAAAATTCAGTGATGATAGTTATTTTATATTTTAACTTATGTAACTTATTTATGTATTCGTTACTGCTCTTTTATTATGTATACTTGATTTGAATTTTATATTGTACCCAAGACAGGTATCAGTCTTTGGACCGTTTGTTCTTGGCTTTTGATGTGATTTGATTTCAATAAATCTTATATATATAATATACCGGTAGTCTAAATGGTCGGGACTTGATGTTCAAATGACTTGCTGTAACATCTAGAAATGGTACTAAAACTGACAATACTGTATATACCACTGGGAAATTGAAACTTCTGAGTACTTCTCAAGTTACATTTAAATTATTTTGAAATAAGCTAAACAATATGTCCATACGCACTGTCAATTTGACTTCTGAATCAAGAAATATTATCTTTCATGAGAATACCTACTGTACATGTACAAGATCAGCAAGAAAAAGGCTGAAATGGTTGGCTATTTGAATTTGATATCCCTTTGGAAATATTTGGAGTGACTTTGTAATGATATACTATTTTGTCATAAGGGTTTCAGGGATGCCAGTCAGTTTTTACTCACTGGGCCTGAAAAGAAGCCAGAACACGTTTAAAGCCCCACATGTGCTGTACAGTATAAAGCCTGAAAAAGCCTTAAATAGGAAGTTGTCAGGGTCTGAAATCAGGCAAAAGCTTTGAAGACTGGCATCTCTGGGGTATGCAATAAAATTATGAAGGAAAACAAGGGACAGACACAGAGATGCCAAGCTCTTGACACACAAGAACAGACTGAGTATCCTAAAATTTCAGATTTTGGAGAGAAAAATCAGATTTCCACGAAAACTTGACACTACCAGGCCCGGGCCAGTAAAATTTCAGAAAAATGTGATACTGGTAAGTTCGGTCAAGTAAAATGTTTGCTCTTTCATTAAAATTTAAAGAGAAAATTGTAAAGCAAAGTTTTTGTTGGGGTTGCAGGGTTTACTTGTACATATTTCTATGCGATTCCACGGTTTTTATGGGTTTAAAAAAAAAATTAAAATTAATTTTTTTTTTGGGGGGGTTGAAAAATTGTATTTTAAGAGGTGATATTGTATTATCGTATTCCACTCTTTCTATCATACGAAAAACAATTAAATCATACTGGTTGCATCTCTGCAAACATAGAGTAGAGTCTGGACTCACTAGACCCTTTTGTAGCATCTTGACACTCCTCTCCTTCTCCTCCAACTGCAGCCTCTGAGACAGGACCGTACTGGTGACCTCCGAGGCCGCTGCTGAAGCCTCTTCCAGCCTCTGGATCTCCTCGGCAGAGGGGACCAGAGGAACGGCAGGGATGGTCCTGGAGGTGGTGGGTGCCTGGTCCACGTCCAGAGCCTGGGAGAACTCGCTGACCGTCTCGTGCTCTGCTTGGTCTACCTCGTCCAAAAAGGACATGATGTGCCTGCAGCGTGAAAAGGGTCAAGAACTGTTTAACATAATGACAAAAGAGTGTTGATAAGTGAACAAAATGTGAAAATATGCTCTGTAATGATAGCATCACTATTTTCCTCTCCTTCTTCTTTTCTTTCCTCTTTTTTTTCCCAGTTTTAAATTCCAGTTGATACCAGTTGAAACCAGGAAGATTTCCAACTGGTATCTACTGGTTTGAACTGGTCTCAACTGGTCTCAACTGGTAAATCAGGAATTTTTTTTTAAATCGGGTAATTATCAAGCCTGAAACATTGTCCTCACCTGAGCTTGTCATCTGTGAGCAAGGCATGGCTGCCAACAGGGGGTGCAGCCTTGGTCTTGGGTTGCTTGACCGGTTTGCTGACCTCCCCTCCCAGACTCCTCCTTGTGACCTCCTGGAGGTTCTCCTCTGAGAGGTACTGACCCCCTGCACCACCGGTCCTACTGGCCGATAGATACCGGCTACTTGGTGGTTGCGGTTCATCTTCCTCCTGCTCCTCCTCTTCTTCCTTATCATCATCGAATATATCCACTGGTAAAGACAAATAAAGTAAAACAAGATAGAACTTCGACAGCGAGTGTTGGATGGCCGCCATACTGCACAGCGCTTGCTACAATAAATCTTATTTACGCCAAACAAAGCAACAATCCGTAATTACGGGAAATCAATACTAGTTGGCAGCTTTGTATTACTGATACTAAAAATAAAAGTTGGCTCAGTCGGTAGAGCGTCCGCCTCACAACCGGGAGGTCATGGGTTCAAACCCCAGCCGCGTCATACCAAAAGACGTTACAAGACGGGAGTTGCTGCTTCCTTGTTTAGCGTTCAACAATAAGGGATAGAGCAACGTCGATGTGGCGCTGCTCTGTGGCTGCCAGGCTCACGATCAATTGGGCAAAAATAATTTCCATTTTCGCTTTAAGTTAATAAAATTTGGAGTGGACTTTAAAAGATTATTATTATTATTATTAAGTCATCTTACACCATGCAGGTCCTTTCTGCTTCTTCTCTGTGGGGCTGGGTACCCTGACAGGTTCTTCTAGTAGCTTGAGTGTGTCTAGGAGGTCTGTTAGGGTAGTCTTGGTGGGTGCCTGACTGGGTGTGTCATCGGGTCTCTCACTGTCTGTATCGCCATTGTAACCATTGTCCGTAGCACCGGTCCGATGAGTTGAAGGTTCACTCTGTGGTTGAATGCAGGAAAAGTCAGAATGAAATATTTAATTTAAATATTTCTTATGTCTAGATAATCTGATGAAATTAACGAAGGATACATAGTTCAATTTCCATAAAAGGATTTATTTTTAGCGAATCTACACTGCAGAGTTGAAATCTGTCACTAACAACTGCATTTATAGTATATTGGTATGCAAGAGTGTCTTTGACATCATTTACAATTGGGAAGAAAAAAATTGTTCATGCTTACTTCAAATATCTCATCCACCTTTCTGCCTGTACTGCTAGCTGTGCCCGGCCTCTGTTGTCTTCTTGATTCAGGTTCAACTGGATGAGGTGTAGTCCCATCTGGAAGCTTTTTTGTAGGGCTTGGACCCGAGCCTGTTGACTGTTTCTTGACGGCCCCTTTCTTCGCGGCTGGTTTCTTGCCTACTTTCCCGCTTGCTTTGAGATATCGCAGCTCCTCCTCTGCCTTCTCTTTGATCTCTCGTTTCTTATCCTCTCTTGATCTCTGCAGATCCTGTGACGGAGGAGAATTTTAAAGGAAAAAAGAAATAGCATGATGGAAATAAATTGGTAGGTAGACAAAGGAAGTACAAAAGAGGTCAAGAACATTCATAACTTTTGTTTACAAAGTCTCTATTAAAAACAATCAGGGTGATAGTGAGCACTTTTTTTTTTAACCTTTCCCCCAAAATAGGGGTAAAATCTGGAAGAAGAAGAAAAAAATTGGTTTTAAAAAATGGTTTTTAAAAAATCAGGGGAAAAATATATTTAAATCTGGACAAAAAAATAATAATCGGGAAACCGATGTAAATCAGGTAATTATCAGGCCTGAACAATAACCAATTATATATCATAAGCATTCAAAAAAGATATATATACATCAAACATGAAACTCATCTTTTTTTCAATCAGCAGTATATAAATTTTGTGTGAAATGCAATTAGACTAACTATCTGATACTAAAGTGGACACATCTGCCACATCCCTTTACATACCTGAATAGCTGATTGCCTGGCCTGCCGTAATTTCTCCTCCCTAGTTCTCTTTCGATCCCTCTCCTGCTGCTCCCTCGTCCTCACCGAGTCCTGTTCCCTGTGGACCAGATCCGATCGTTCCTTCCGCTTCTGGCTCAAGATTTTTTTGATCTCGTCCTCCCCCTCTTTCCGCCTCTCCTGCGCACATCCTTTGTACCATCGCTGTATCTTGGTGGCAGCCTCGTTGACCGACTCGATGTATTCCTCGGCCACAGGGTGGTCCGAGGACGTACTAGTTCTCAAGAGTCGCGCATTCGCATCGTGCATTGTTCTGTTCGATGGTAGTCCCTGGTGAGCATTTTTACCCGAAGACCACTGCCTTGAGGGCTCCTCACCAAGCTGAAACTCATTCTTGTTGGTCTTGTTCGGGCTGGGGGGTCTCAGATTCTTGTCCGGTCCCCTTGGGCTCAGAGCAGGACCCCCGTTCCTGAGGGGCAGACTGTCATAATCCTTCTCCGGTTGCTGGTAAGAGTTCCTTGCTATGTGGTTTGAATCAATGTCCTTCTCGAGGTGTTGAGTGTAAGACTCAAAGGGTGAGGCAGCAGCATCACCTGCAGGGGACCTGGAGCTGTTCAGCCTGTAGGAATCCAAGGTGCTGCTGGTCCTGGCACTCATGGGGATCTGAAAAGCTCTGCTCGACATCTGAAATTGAATTTTATAAAATTTCTTTTGAAACCGTTGTCAGTTTATGGAGGATGGAATGCAATACATCATCCATCGTTTGGATATGAAGCAATGCTATATATAAGAAATTTCTTCCCAGACTCGCAACTCTGTTGATAATGCCATGATGACTTGCCTTAAAAGGGTTGGGAATTTCCTGGAAAATACTGAGAAGTTGTGTAAAGGAAAAACCTTCTAACCTCATAGATGAAGTCAGTTGGACACACAAAAAATAAACTGAGGTCCCTCTAAGGCAGGGGACACAAAATATCTTTTTAAAACTGTCCATGGAAAAATAATAAATAATTACATTACAACATGGCTCATCAGTCGGGTTACATGTATACATCTTTCTGAATTATCAAAGAGATTCGCATTATGACTTATTGAAGAAAGAGAAGAGACCTCTTGCGCATTCTGCATAGATGCAATAGGTACTCACCGGCTCTTGTCTTTTCTTCTGTGTAGATGGCTTTTTGGTGGTTCCACCTGCTTTGCTTCTGATAACCGGTTGGTGATCATTGTTGAACAGATTCATGAAATCTGTAGAACTGAAAGAGTTGAAATATACCGCTTTAGAGGTTGTCCGACAAACACACTTCAGCAACAAATGTATGCTTCATAGTCAAGTTCTTACACTAACTAAGAGAGAGAGAAAAGAAAAAAACTTGCAACCCTAATTTGACCAATCAATAATCATCTTTGATGAAACACAGCCCACCAAAATTGTTTTAAGAGGAAATGTTGGATCACTGTCTTTCTGATATGAGAGCAGTGAGCGAAGCTCTCAAATTGCAGATGCGATTGCAAATGCTCTGACAACTGTTACAAGCCTTTCAAGTGGTATTTTCCATGATTTTCACGACAACAAAATTAATTCGGAAATGGCAAGAACATTTTAACTTAAAACTTAAAAGCCTACAATTTATTATATGATATATAGTCATTTTGTACATTTATTTAAAGTATGTTGCAACTACAAAATGATAACTCATTCATTCTTACTTTGGATTCTCCATAGCCTGTAGCACTGAATCTGAATCATCCGTTGTGTTACTGCGATGTGTAGATTCTGCTGCTACAGATTAAAAAAACAAAATATTATTCAACTGTGGCTAGGAAGATACTAAATCGGGCGGAGTTCATTTGAAGCTGGATAGAAAATAATAAAACCAATCTTAACTTATATATTTTGCGAGTATGAGAGTTTAAAGGTATGTAGCTAATAAAAAATGGCACAATTATCACTCATAGAATTTGTTTGTCATACTGGTACTGGCATTGTAATTACCGGTAGACATAATGTCATCAGTCGACCTTAAAATAAAAAAAACACAACACAAACACACTCTGTCACTAAGATTAAACTACAAATTCTTTCACTGAGAATGGTGATTTACTTTGGTGCATTAAAAATATCAGGGTAGCACTGACCACTCGCTTTTAATAGGAATTTTGACTTACATCTCTTTTGTCTCGAGTCTGAGCTTCCGATTCCTGAACTGCTAGAACTTCTCGTTAATCCGCTACCAGTCCCCTATACCCACAGCAGATTCAGAAATACATGTACAAAATATTTTTTAAAGAATCCAGCTAACCCACTGTTGCTCGTAAAGTTTCATTTGTTTTCCTTACATATTTTCATGATATGATTGTGACAATGTGGTTTATTCTTGATAGATAAAATGTATATCTTCTGAGAACTTAATTGATCAATCTCTATGACTCTTTAGATTGATCAATAAAGTTCTGAGAGGATTTAAACTGTATCTATCATAATATAAATCATGCAGTCACAATCACTTCCTGATAAGAGTTAAACAAAAATATATATTCCAACTTTATGGGCAACAGTATACAGTAACTTCATGTATGTTTTAACTTCCAATTTCCAAGAGTATACACATTCAACTTTCTTTTTTTTGATCAAATAATTTTGTTAAGGAAGAAAGTGTTAATCATTGAAAATATCATTCTCACATTAGCATTTTAGAACGAGTTCATATTCATGTGAAGGGATATTACCTACATACTCAGGGAATAATTTTCCTGGTATCGCATCGCAATTTGCTATGCATTTTTGCATGACTGCTATACAAAATATCTTTTGCGTAGCAGTTTTCTTCCATAGAAATGTACAGAATTTCATTTGAAATATTGATCCATCGCCTGAAATTGCTAATCAAAAAATTTGAGGAAAATTATTCCCTGATACTTGAGAGCACTTTCTAAAAGTTAAAGAAAAATGTCATACGATAGCATAATACACATACATGATCTTTCTTTAAAAAATGCCCACAACATAGATTGACTTCAATGATCAGTTTGAGCCTACATCAAATTCAAATTCCTTTACAAACAAGAGGTATTGTCCTAGAAGGCAGACAATGTTTGAACAACATACCCTTGCATTTGCCACCTTTCCACCAAAGTTAGCTCCCATTTCACCTCTACCAGGAGACTTCCCACGAGTCGTGCTGGCTGTGGACCTGGCACTGGACCTGCCAGAGCTAGGTCTATTTCCACCCGAAGAACCTGGCCTACCAGAGTTGGGTCTGGCACCGCCAGGCCCGCTTGACATGGCTCCGCTGGATCCGGACCGTTTCATGGATGAGATCTGGGAGCCACTCAGGCTTAGGCTCAAGTGTTGGGACATCCTGGTTTAATGATGCATCTGCAGAAAAGAAAAATATCACAAAATACAGATGAAATCAACTGGGAGTAATATATGAAGAGATTAAATCCAAAAGGAACTAAATCCATTTGTGTAAATTCGGAGAAAAAAGAAATTGTTTACCCGATTTTGTACAGGCGTCTTTCGAAAAGTGATATTAGAAGGTGCATTTTTCCATAGTTGCTCCCAAAATTTAGGTAAACAATTTTGTTCTGATATCAATAACTCAACTCAAGCTCTTCATATATATTGTCTGGTATGGTTGCATTAAAACACTCTTTGGACCACCAAAAGGAGTTATTATTTTATGACAAAGTGTGGGAACAGGAAAACTTTAACTAGGAAATACTACCTTGTTGTTCCGGTGCTTCTTTTGTCCTTTTCTTGTTGTCTAAATTAGAGGAGTCTTTTATACTTTTTGTTTCGCCAAGTGATTGATTGACGCCTTTATTTTCTTGTGATAGGATTTTCCTGATTTTCTTTAAATGGAGGACGCAGTAATTTATGCGCAAGATACATGTAAGCGTGTACTTTAGGAATTCGGAAAACCACTTTGCATGTTTTAATGTATTGTATTCGCTATACAACATCGTCATTTATCACTACAAGCAAGTCCGCAAGCAAGATGGGTTGAGCTGCGTCTGCAACCCGTTTTCTACCGTCTGTGAAGAGCTGCGTCTGCAACCCGTTTTCTACCGTCTGTGAATGCAGATTATGAACTGAAACTCGCAATGTCCTGCCACGAAGTGAGTTTATGAGAATGAGAACTTTGGACAATATAAACTCTAATTATGAGCTATTTAACGGTTGGTACAAAATCCTAATTTGTTACGTTGTCGTTGTGCATGCACTTTCACTTTGCTGTGGGTGCGATTGCGTTGGTGTTTAATATGCGGTTATCTATGTGAAGCTTAATCTGTGTATCAGCATATATATGAGGATGTATGTTATAGGAATTGCTGTTTATATTGGGTATTGCTTTTTACATCATTTGAAGTTAATTTATGCAATTTGTAAATTGCATTCCAGTTGCACTGGGCGTGGTCGATGACCTAACTAGAAATGGATACATTCTTTTGGATATTGATATGAACAGGTTTAATTCATAAGGCAATATTTACTGGTTAAATGACTTTATTTAGGTAAAGTGAAAAGTGAAATAGGTCAAAGTAATAATATTGTTGTTGGTTTAAATTCTCTGGGTTGGAGACAGACAAATTGGCAAGGGTCCTTATTTGTATACTTATTGAAAGTGGTTGCACTCTTGTGCATTGTACTGCACATTAGTACATCTTGAAAGCTATAGATATATTTGATATAGTAATGTAGTTGTTGATTTATTACATATGGAACCAAAGCAGGGTCACAAAGTTAATGTCTGAACAATATAGATTTCTTTCAAAGTGATTTAACCTAGTTCTTTGCTGGCCTTTATGCCTTATGACAGGTATTTGAACTAGCACTAAAGTAAACTTATTTGGTGCATGACTCTTACGATTACAGATATTCTATTTCATGGTCAATTGAAACAACTGATTTATTAGTTGTATGTTTATGTTCATGGAAATGGTTTGAACAATGAAGTAAATGTTCTTTTTTCTCCTGTTGATTTGCCTATTACAGATTGAATAAATAAATACTACCTATCCGTTTCAACGGGATATTGCAAGTCACTGAGTCATGAGTCGTCACTGATCCACTTTTAATAGGCACAACGCCAAACTGACTCCAACCAAACAATTCTTGACTGTTCTGCCTTTGGGGTCATGCATTATTTTGGTTCGGTCCGTTGTCGGTCTAACTTAGGTCCCGTACTTTGTTGTGTCTGAGGTATCACTGTAGACAGTAGGGGCGCTGGTCCGAGAATGAGGATCGTCCACATAAACGAGAATATCCTTGTATACGCGGATAAAATGTGTCCTTTAAAATAAGGATCTCTTTTGTCCTCGCCGGGTTTCAGGTTCCCGATCCGCGCTGGCAATGCGAAAAACAAATTCCGTGTAATAAATACCCCCAGTTTAGATCTACTTTCTATTTTTATGGATTGTCCATCTTCCTGAGAATTTATCGCTTCACGGATATGGCACATTTCTTGTAAGTTGTGGTTGTACTTGGGCGTCGTTGCCGATGGGCAATTTGGTTGACGTCTGAACTCTGATGATTATCAATATAATTTCTTGTTTGCTGAATTTATTGCTTATTTTAAGCAGGCCAGGTAACAGATGACCTAACAAATTAATTATCTGTCATTAGCCAAATTACATAAGAGTGGTGAGTGCAATGGGGCAGCCATATTGATAAAAAGGTCTATATTTTTTGTGTTTGGATATCGGGCTACGAGCTACGGGCAGCTGCTATTTTTTGCGCCGACACGCCAGGCCAAAGTCAACAGCCTGTTGCCGTCGCTGTCCATCATTTTCCCGTAGATGAGCTGTGAATATGTCAGTGGTGAATTTCCGTAGCCCACGGACAGAGTAACGGTAAATCTACCATACATATTATCACACTTCCCAGTTAATACAAGGACACATATCCATCTTAAACTGTAGAGACATACATGGAAAACACATACCGCAAAAATAAGAAGCTAAATATAACTTACACGATATGTGTTCTTGGTATTCTCCTTTCGTTTACAGAGTGGAATAAAATAAATTGACAAATATGTAGACACCATCTATGGCACGCTAGTTGTGCATCAAATTAATTCTTGAAAAGTTGATCGCCAACCTGATATATCAATCCGCAGCCAGTCATCTAAACAATTTAAATATTTTTAAATGAGGCTTCGTGTAGACAAAAAAGCCGCGATATTTTCCAAAATACGTATTTTAAGAGTTTAAAAGGAATATTGTCATGTCATTACCTTTGATATATGTAAAAAGTGTAAATTACTTACGAACTATTTTATCGCGCATTAGCCCATTTACAAAAGAGTCGTGAGTGCAATGGGGCAGCCATATTGAGAAAAAGGCCTATATTTTTGTGTTAGGTTATTGAGCGTAAGCTTGCAAGATTCTTGGGAAAACTGTGTTCCTCTACCCTGGGATATCCGCTCTTCCTCTATGCCTCCGTCAACTCTTGCACATATCTTAGAGTTATAACAATGGGTGACAAACGAAAACTACAAGGTGAGGATGAGCTTCTAGCTGCAGATGTAAACCCTTGTTTTCCTTTTTCTTTTCCACTTTTCAAGTGGCAGTCGCATTCGCAATGCAGTGCAGCAGTGGTTGAGATGTGTGTGTGTGTGTGGCCATTGATTAATTGCAATGGCAAAAAAATAGTCCAATCTAGGCAAGCACATTTATTTTGATTATAATTAGAGTCTATGAGCGATTGTTGGTGAGTGGGTTATCAAACTAAATTAAATTTCTGAACCTTTACAGTAAAATGTAGGGTCCTTAATGCAGGTGATGGCCTGAACGTTTCATAAAATCTGAATTGTTAAAAACAAAAATAAACCGTTCAAAAAGTAAATGGCAATTTCATGTTTTTGAAATTTGATGTTTTTGTTCTTTCTTTAAATTTTGTTGAATATGAGAAGAGGCTCCAGTTTTCGGTAGGTAGCTCGTTTGCAGCAGGTCTGTTTTAACTTCAAAATCAACTTAATTTTAAAATGAATGGAATCGTCATGATCGGACAAAGGCTAACGTATGCCGCATCACAGCGTTTTTCAACTTTTTTTTCAGTTACGGCACTCTATTTAGAAATAGGTCTAGAATGCGTTACTTTACCCCAATCCAAATTTAACCTCGGAAGATTCACTTTCTCGCATTCTGGCACTCGTCAATACTCGGGTGCCATGTAATGGGATTTCATATAATGATGTAAACATGTTGCAAGGCACATTTGTTTCTTAATTTTGAGAGCGAAGCGAGGTCCGTAAAGAACAATAAAATAATTTTTATGTTTAAAATCTATGTTGTAATAAGATAAAAAAGTTGCATTCGGGCACCTTGCCGCCAAATATACTTGAATACAAAAATTTATATTTGGTCACCACGATACACGAATATGATGCTAATATTCGGGCATCTCGTTGCCCAGGATTATCCTGCTTCTAAATGATGCGAGCGATTGAAGCGAACAAGCGTAGAAAAAAATGTAATTTTGATCGCAAATAGAAGGATATTTGGGCACCTCTATGTCCAAATATGGAGGTTTTCAGGCAGCAAAGTTCATCCTGTTCCTAAATGTTACCAACCAACCAAAATGCTGACGTCTTATACACTTACATGTACATGTAGGATATACCCCAAAATTGTGTCCAGACAGGTTGTGTATCCAGACGGTTGATTTAAAACGGTAATTTGAAGAATTAAATATGCAATATTTCTTAAATCTCTGATTATAAAGGATAAATATTTCTGATGGTTAGTGTTATTTGATACATATACATTTTGTCAAATCCAAAGACAAAAGTGGTTGCTTACTTTTTGTTATCGTCCAGACACACAACCCCCCATCATACATACCAAAATAACAGACAAGCAGCAGTAACAATGAAAAAGGTATTTATGAATATAGAATTTTACCGATGCAAGTCCCAAAACAAAAAATTAAAAAATGTGCATCGTACTTGGGTCCAAAAATTAAGCTGTATTTCAATGAATTTTCAGTTTAGATTGAGATTTTACACAAGTCGCAAGCTCAAGAGTGTCCGATTGCATAGTCAATATTTAGTTTGTGTTATCGTGTGACACAATGGTGATAGCTCCCTATGAATAGCAAGATTGGTGCCTGAAAACGCTGCTGCTGCAGATTGCAGATGGATTGCATGCAGGGAGCTCTATTTCTATTTCTGGTAAATCCTCTTTATGTGTGCTACATAGCTTTCCAATAATAACCGTTCACGTGGTACATCCGACCTTGGGAATGAAACCGAAGAGGACCTTATACTTGTCCTCGACCAGGAGATGCCCCACACTCTTGAAGACGCTGCCTTCATGGTCTAGATCGATTTGGCGGGAAATATTAGCATCTGTGCATGCCTCCTCCATTTAGTGTCCATCGTCGTTTCTGTTCGACCATCATGTTTGCGTAATCAGTGGCATCCTTAAACGACCTGGGCTTGGGTGGTTTGAAGATGATGTTTTTCTGGAAATATGCAACCATAGATGACGGTCTTGTTTTGAGTACATACAAAATTATGACCGGCTAAATTGGAGAGCAAGAAAATTATGTCATTATGCCCCAATTTTCTTATGCATTCAAGTATACCACACAGAAATGATGAAGGGTCTGGATTTCCATAATTTGAGTAAACACTGAAAAGAATTCTCAATTCTCAATTCTGGATTCAACTCTTTAGTGTAACCCATTGATGAAGCTTACTTCTCATATTGTATTGCACTATCGCTACATTGCTACATGTAAAGATACACGTAGCAAACTAGCAATAGGTTGTAGCTGTACCCAGACACCCCCCCCCCCCCCACACTGATTAAAACAATGTTCCCCAATACCCCCGCCCCATCCATATCTACCCACAGAATTGACTTTGGGGACAACATTTTATGGACAACTTCTTCCCTAGACAATCCTACATGTATGTATCCCAAGCCGCCATCCTATATTAAAGGTAGTGAGGTGTTCTAGAGTAGTTATCTTGGATGGTTGCTGAATATACATTAGATGCAATGCCTTTCCTGCGTAATACAGCTTATGTACAAATGATGGATATAGTAAGTTGTAATACGATATGAGTATATATACCAGGTATGTTTCTGATACCAGGAAGGCAGGGATAAAAGTACAAGAAATCCAGGGCGCACGAGAGAGAGAGTGAGTTTTGAAAGGACAATCGGAATTTGGAATGCCTTCTAATATTTATTTTTTTTAAAGAGGAGGAAAGAAAGATCCACTAATATTAAAAGACAACAAAAGTTTAAAATATTGCTCTTTATTATTTTGTATAGCATGCCAAAGCTTTACATCACTGATTTCAATGAAAAACGATTTGAGGAAAAAGAGTGCTAGAGAAAATATCGAATCAATGTATCATTAAAAATGTTAATTCTTAGATGCATGGCCCTACGTGTTATCAGTGTCTGTGATATGGTGTAATATTGAAGCCTTAAAAGAATTTCGCTTCAAAATGATCATGAAGTGCCTCAAAAGAAGTAAAAAAATCTTTGAGTAACCTGTTTTACCATACTCATTTTCCCCAATAGACTGAAGTGTCATAAAAAACGAAAAACAAAATTTTGATTTCCAATCATAAATATCTTGATAATCAAACCGGCGATCGGCTTGTAAAAGTCATGGGATTCCTGACTGACCTAAAGGTTTATAATGATTGTAGCATGAGCTAAATCCACGATTTTGTTTCAGAATCTAGAAGCGTGATAGCTCAGTCGTTAGAGCAGTGGTGTCGATGCGCTAGTGCCCTTTGGTAAGGCATTTATCCTCATTACCAGGTCCCTCGGAGAAGACCTTAAGCCGTTGGCCGTCTGGTTGCTTACTTACAAGCATTTATGCTTTCTCAGCAGTCAGGTAAAATAAAAAGTAATCACCAAAAAATCTGAAGCGATGTTAACAAGTCACTTTAAATGGTCCCTTTATCTCTGCTAATAGTTTGAATAAATCACAATTTCTTTGACTTCCTATGCATCAGTTTTCTTCAACCATTTACAGTCAAACATCTTATGGACATTTTTTTTGTATTTTTGTCTTCTGTTTTTCCAGGTGAAATAGAGAGATGTCTCAAGAAGGTCAGTGAAGGAGTCGAAACATTTGAAGACATCTGGCAGAAGGTACTTGTGAGTTACGACAATTTATTTTTATCATTTTTTTTTTTGATTGAGTGTTTGTACATTTACATTTAAGGCCCAAATTAAAAATGTAGGAAAAACAAGACAAATTTAGCTGTCACTTGAAATAATATAATTATTTAAAGAAAAATTATATATCCCAGAGAAAAGATTTTTTAATTGATATGAAATAAGTAACTGTCTTTACCGTCACATTATTAGTTGAGCATTTTAATCTTGACTCCCATCGATGTATGCGCACAATATCTGGTGTGGGGAAAATTCCTGTTGGGAATACATGTACATGTATTTTAATTTGTATTTGTTCTTTTCCAAGATGATCCTGAAACATAAGCGCATAACTTCGAGTTCTGATTCTGAATTTGAAAAATTATTGCACATGAGTACAGGTAAAATACTGTCAGTATGTTTTCTTTTTTGGTTTGTTTTTCTTTTCTTTCTTTCTTTTACATTTCTCCATTATTTTGTATAATAAAGATATAGCAAGAGCATAATAATTTGTGCACAAAGTTCTGTGCATTTTGTAAATAAATTGGATTTATATCTAAAGCCTCGGTCACAAATGCAATTTCGAACTGCTACGAACGCCGTACAAAAGATTTTCAGACAATGGAAATTCGGGAAGACAATGGAAAAACTGAGATTCGTACGAAATTATTGTTTGTACAAACATTTGTGACCGTAGCATTACACAGCAGGAATTACACAAGTGCAAATGTCCTATATGCAGCTTTGGATGATAAGTACTATTTTACCCCATGTGCCATGTGCAAAAATGTTTTCCCTTGCAGATCTATCATTGTGCCATGTAACTTTGTTTCTTTCTATCCATCATGTTTCAGGTTCACAATGCTACGAATAGCAATCAGAAGGAGAAGTATGAAGCAGACTTGAAAAAGGAAATTAAGAAGCTCCAGGTTAATATCGTTAGATATGAATTCATTGTGAAGTGGTTCTGAAGAAGCGGGCAGAAGAAAAATAAATAGAGATGTCTTTGAAGATTCCAGAAGAAAGACTTATAAATCAATTATCAATTATTTTCATATAAAACCATGAAATGTTACAATGACATGTAAATATGTTCTTTTATTTTACTTTCTTGCCTTACCTGTTTTCTTCACCCCCTCCCCCATAATTTCTTCTCATATAGAATGATCTAATTTTTCAATTGTGGAACAATTTTTAATGCCACATGTTTGTGTAGTCCCATGTATATACCTTAAGCTTTCCATTGTCGATGAGTTTCAGAAGAATGTAGCCAAGTTGTCCAATCGTAATGATTTGAACACCTTGTGATTTTAATTAATTTATCTACCATTCAGAAGGAAAAAATGGTGAAGGTTTCTACATGTATCACAATCAAGTTACCATTATGTAACAGCAATATTTTTTGTTAGCCATTTTTATTGTAGCTGTGGAAGTTTGTTCACCAAGGTTTCAATTTTTTCTTGCAGAGGTTAAGAGACCAAATCAAGTCATGGGCAGCCTCAAACGAGATCAAGGATAAGAGGACACTGTTAGAAAACAGGAAATTGATCGAAACGGTGAGCATGTTTCTTATTCAATTAACACTACAATGTCTTGTTGTGACTGAACAAATTAAGTCAAAGCCATGCTGGGGTCATGACCTGGAGTGCTGTATGTTGGATGGTGAAGTTCGATAAGTGCAGTTGTCTGTGCAGTCAAGTTAAGGATGGTACTCTGGAATTCTGATTTTGATTTTAAAGCCTTGTGAGAAATCTTATTAAAGAATTGGTAAAAGAGATGCACATACGTAAATACTAATACCATCATCCTGTTGGCATACCAACGTGGGATTGCAAAGAGTCAATAAAAATATGATACAGCTACCAGTGGCTGAATAATCTTTTGTTATCAGCAGTCTCCGAATTCCATTAACAAATCTTAGTCTACTCTTACACTTTCATTATTCTCCTTTCATTCTGTGTTGTTATTGGAGACAATGTCCAGTATGTAATGCATGACAACGTTGCAGTTTGCACTCGGACTGAGTGAAGCCTTGACATGCTTGTTAATTATATGAAAACATGTGAATCCTTCGTCAACGACGTAAAGATTTTACTTACTCTCTCTCTCTCTCTCTCTCCCTCTCCCCCTCTCTGTGTGTGTGTCTCTCTCTGTGTCTCTTTCTCTCTCTTTCTCTCCATGTACAGCAAATGGAAAGATTCAAGGTGGTAGAGAGAGAAACAAAAACGAAAGCATACTCGAAAGAAGGGTTAGGGTTAGCAGCCAAAGTCGACCCCATCCAGAAGGAGAAAGACGATGTCTCGCTGTGGATGCGGGGCTGTATAGACAAACTCACGGTACAGATAGACTCGTTTGAAATGGAGGTTGAAAGCATCACAACATCTTCAAAGAAAAGGAAAATCCCAACAGATGTGAGTTGTCTTAGTAATGATTTCTAGTAGTTTGTGAATGACTAATTTCTTTATTTGGGGTTTCATTTGTTTATTTTCTCATTATTATTGTTATCCCTTTTACCACAGCTCAACATATGAAGTCTACCCTGATCAACTTCAACAATAAATTTGTGTTTAATTTTTCTCGCTTTCTCTGACCTTTTCTACCTGCAATGCCCTCAATCCAGCATTTGCCTCACAAATTGTTTTAGGATTTATCTTGTTAATTTCTTTGTTGAATTTAAGTTTGCTACTTCCCCTTGAATTTATTAAGTTAACAAGAAATCATGATGAGACTCGTTCATAAGCAATTGAATTTTATTTTGGGGGGAAATATTTATGACATCAATTACAAAATAAATAAAGAGATAAAGATATCAAAATATTCACTTGCTTTTCTTTGTTACAGTTTTACCTATATGTTATATCTGTGTCTGTACTCATGTCTGTTTCTTATTCATTTTTTTGTTTCCATTCTTATTCCCTTGGGTTTGCAGAGGCAAGAGAGATTAGATGAGCTAGCGACATGGTTAGAGAAACACAGGTTTCACATCAGGCAGCTGGAGACGATCATGAGAATGTTGGATAACAGCACAATAGAGGTGGACCAGGTCAGTCAGTCAATAATGAATGATCACTTTCGCTTTTAAAGGCATCGTTTAACAATGTTAAATCTGAGATGTATGGCCCTACGTGTTATCAGTGCATGTGATATGGTGTAATATTAAAGCCCTAAAAAAATTGCGCTTCAAAATGATCATGAAGTGCTTCAAAAAAGTAAAGATCTTTGTGTGACCGGCTTTGCCATACTTATTTCCCTCAATAGAAAAAACGCAGAATGAAATTTGGATTTCCAAACATAAATATCTTGATAATCAGACAGGCGATCGGCTTGTAAAAGTCATGGGATTCCTGACTGACCTAAATCTTTATAATTAGGATTGCAGCATGAGCTAAATCCAGGATTTTGTTTCAGAATAGTCACTTTAAGCAACAGTGTGTTGTGTGCCCCGCAGAAGGGCACAGGTGGATGCACAGACAACGGTGCAGGGTTTTGAACATCCACCATAAGTACAAGTTTTACTGACAACGTTTTCAAGCACATGTTTTAATATCAACATCATCATCATCATGATATTAACAGCTACATTTATATTTTGCACAAAGATATTCAACAAAGGCCCTAATTCAACCAGTTCAGTTTTCATTCTTGAGTAACAAAAAATCAAAATAAACATTAAATTTACAAGGGGTATGAATAATTTAGGTGTTAATTGTAGCATGTATGACTTTATTTTCGACCTTTGCTTCATCTACAATGTGACTTGCAATTCTTTGGTTCTGTTGTAGATCAAGAAAATACAAGACGATTTGGAGTACTACATTGACTGCTCGCAGGATCCCGACTTTGAGGAGAACGAGTTCATGTATGATGAACTGGAAATCGATGATGAAGGTTCGTAAAAGATCATACCAATCTCCGTCCTCGTATTTGGTGTGAATTTTGTATTTATAAGGGATCTAGACTTTCATTGTTCCATTGGGTTTCATCATATTCTTCAGTAACCTGCCTCTTGCATTGTCTTATGTGATCCATTGAGATCAGAGATCAGAAAGAAAAATATTTGTTCATGTTCAAAGCCCTATTTTTAGAAAGAATAATCTGTAGTTCTGAAGTAGTTTAACACCTCTTCTTTGTCTTTGTATTTTTCCCATCTCACCATATTCTCTTCTTCCCTTTTTTGGCCCTCTTCCTGATATCTTCTTACATGAACCTCTGCTCTTCATCCTCAATTTTAATGAACAAATTTGTCTACCTTTTCCTCTTTTCCTCTTTCATATCATTTTGCTAATTTGCCTTGCCTTTCCTTTCTTACTTGTCCTTCCCTTTATCTTTCTCACCTTCTTTCCTTCTCACCCTCCTTTCCTTCTCATCCTCCTCTGCTCTACTCTTTGCTATCCTTCTCACCCTCTCCTTCTCACCCTCCTCTGCTCTCCTCTGCTCTACTCTTTGCTATCCTTCTCACCCTTTCCTTCTCACCCTCCTCTGCTCTCCTCTGCTCTACTCTTTGCTATCCTTCTCACCCTTTCCTTCTCACCCTCCTCTGCTCTCCTCTGCTCTACTCTTTGCTATCCTTCTCACCCTTTCCTTCTCACCCTCCTCTGCTCTCCTCTGCTCTACTCTTTGCTATCCTTCTCACCCTCTCCTTCTCACCCTCCTCTGCTCTCCTCTGCTCTACTCTTTTCTATCCTTCTCACCCTTTCCTTCTCACCCTCCTCTGCTCTCCTCTGCTCTACTCTTTGCTATCCTTCTCACCCTTTCCTTCTCACCCTCCTCTGCTCTCCTCTGCTCTACTCTTTGCTATCCTTCTCACCCTCTCCTTCTCACCCTCCTCTGCTCTCCTCTGCTCTACTCTTTGCTATCCTTCTCACCCTTTCCTTCTCACCCTCCTCTGCTCTCCTCTGCTCTACTCTTTGCTATCCTTCTCACCCTTTCCTTCTCACCCTCCTCTGCTCTCCTCTGCTCTACTCTTTGCTATCCTTCTCACCCTTTCCTTCTCACCCTCCTCTGCTCTCCTCTGCTCTACTCTTTGCTATCCTTCTCACCCTTTCCTTCTCACCCTCCTCTGCTCTCCTCTGCTCTACTCTTTGCTATCCTTCTCACCCTTTCCTTCTCACCCTCCTCTGCTCTCCTCTGCTCTACTCTTTGCTATCCTTCTCACCCTCTCCTTCTCACCCTCCTCTGCTCTCCTCTGCTCTACTCTTTGCTATCCTTCTCACCCTTTCCTTCTCACCCTCCTCTGCTCTCCTCTGCTCTACTCTTTTCTATCCTTCTCACCCTCTCCTTCTCACCCTCCTCTGCTCTCCTCTGCTCTACTCTTTGCTATCCTTCTCACCCTTTCCTTCTCACCCTCCTCTGCTCTCCTCTGCTCTACTCTTTTCTATCCTTCTCACCCTTTCCTTCTCACCCTCCTCTGCTCTCCTCTGCTCTACTCTTTGCTATCCTTCTCACCCTTTCCTTCTCACCCTCCTCTGCTCTCCTCTGCTCTACTCTTTGCTATCCTTCTCACCCTCTCCTTCTCACCCTCCTCTGCTCTCCTCTGCTCTACTCTTTTCTATCCTTCTCACCCTTTCCTTCTCACCCTCCTCTGCTCTCCTCTGCTCTACTCTTTGCTATCCTTCTCACCCTTTCCTTCTCACCCTCCTCTGCTCTCCTCTGCTCTACTCTTTGCTATCCTTCTCACCCTCTCCTTCTCACCCTCCTCTGCTCTCCTCTGCTCTACTCTTTGCTATCCTTCTCACCCTTTCCTTCTCACCCTCCTCTGCTCTCCTCTGCTCTACTCTTTGCTATCCTTCTCACCCTTTCCTTCTCACCCTCCTCTGCTCTCCTCTGCTCTACTCTTTGCTATCCTTCTCACCCTTTCCTTCTCACCCTCCTCTGCTCTCCTCTGCTCTACTCTTTGCTATCCTTCTCACCCTTTCCTTCTCACCCTCCTCTGCTCTCCTCTGCTCTACTCTTTGCTATCCTTCTCATTCTTTCCTTCTCATCCTCCTCTGCTCTCCTCTGCTCTACTCTTTGCTATTCTTTTTCCCGGCTTACCAACAGGTCTAGAAGCAACCTCTCCAGACGACGAGGAAAACCACATGGACGATGACACGCCCTTGAGTATTTCACCCATCGTCAGCAGCAGTTTGCCCTCCACATCAAACCATTCCAAAGATATAAAGCCAGACGAAGAAAAGAAGACGAGAACGAAATCGGTGGATGATACGGTGGGTAGAATTTATTGCGCAAAAAACAAATTGTTGTAAATCCCAGTGTTTGAGATCATGTGCATGATATGTATTGGAAGGAGAAAAAAAAGAAACAGATTTTCATTCATGTTAAACATCTGTGAGTAAAGAAAGTTGAGTATATACATATCTTGAGTATGATGTCAAACATTTTGAACCATTCTGTATACTAGGTACTGCCCATGATCTCTGTAAAATGGTAAAACTCATTTTGGTTTAATTAAAATTATATCCATATATTTTTAAGAAGCATAAAATGGGAAAACTTTCTACCATCATTAATTTTGTCAATGTTCCAATGCTTTGAATTTCATCTTTTTATCACATTCGTAGCTCTGGCTTTGTCCCTAGAACATGTCTCGAATATGCAGCAATAAGCTAATTCCTGAGGGTCTTGGGTAAAAATTGTACAAGTAATGACTGTTGTCATTATTGTTGGCAAGAAATATTGTGACAGGTTGCAGTTTTAGCCTTTAAAGTGTCACTCAAAAGTACTTATACATAAAGGAAGAATTGACAAACCACATGTCTTCAGTTTATAAAGAGATCTGGCAATTTCAATGGGAGTCCTCATTAAATGGAAGACATTTATGGCGAATTCAGCCAAATGTCACAAAAAAGGAAATATTCAAGGTTTTAATAGAAAGGAGGAAGTAATAATACATCAGTTGAGACTAGGGAAATGCAAATTAAATTATTATCAGCACGTTATTAGTCAACATGAAGATGGATCCATTGTAAGGTTTCAGAAACTATAGAACATTTTTAACTACAATGCCAGAAAGAAGGATAATGCAAAGACGATTGAAATGTGATACATTAGATTTAGTAAAATTATTAGGGAATTTATCGGATTTTAGAGTCAGACAGACTCCCCCCCCCCCCCCCCCAGATAATCTTACAAGATTGAAGATTGCCATCTAAACGCCAACAACAACAACAACTTATGATTTTGACCCTAATTCTAATTTTGTCCGTTTACATTCCAGTCGTTATCCTCGTCGCCATCACCAAGGAAAGGTTCAGCCAAGAGTACGAGCAGCTCATCATCGTTGAATTCCATTCCCATGACAACCACTACAACAACATCATCAACGACGACTCAGCAGAGTAGACCAACAATAACGAGAGTTTCATCGTCGCCGGGTACGTCAACGAGCAACTCCTCAGCGGCGTTTGGGAACTTGCAACCGTCAACCAAAAACAGCCTTAGCAAAGCAAATAGGTGAGTGATTATAACACTAGTATTAGGTCCAATATTATGGAGATGACATTCTGTTTTTGTTTCTGAAAAACTGCATATTTTAATGTTGGATCTTAACCCCCCCCCCCCCCCCCCCCCTTCCTAAATTATTTTATCGCAATAAAAAAAACTTGCGCTGAAATTTCATGACTTTTTTCTTTCTCATCTCGTGCACAATTTAAAGCCTTATTTGCAAAATTGGTGGTACTGTTGCAGAGATATAGCATATCATGACCAACGTCGCACATAAATGGCCGTTTCCAATGATCTTGTGTGTACAATGTATGGGTTTTACAAGAAGTGTTGTCAGAAAAAGTTTTTTCTGTTTTTCTTCAGATAACATCCCTTCTGACCATCGTCAACTATTGTAGATAACAAAGCAATGAAAAACAAAATATTTAAACAAATAAATACATAAAAAATTAAAAACAAAGAAATACATAATCATTCCCATAATTCAATCATAAATTGTCAAAACATACACTAAACATCACCTATTAATAAGAATTTATATCACTGACTTAAATCCAATGACAAGGAGATAATGCTTATATCTTTGATAATTATCACATTGACTTTTCATAAGCAAAAATGGGGAGAAAATTTCTTTCTCTCATTTTATCATTCCAACTATTAAAAAGCAGTTTCTCTTCAGTTGGAGGTCAAATATCTTCAAAATACACAATAGGAAACTGAAATAACCAGGTTGCTATAAAGACAGACCTGCCAACCAGTACGATTTAGTCGTATTTAGTACGATTTTTAGAAGCAAATACGACAGTACGATTTTCCTGAATAAAATACGATTTTCAAAAAACAAAAAAAACAATTTTTTTTTTTTTTTTTTTTTTTTTTAAATTTTTATTTATTTAGTTATTTATTGATTTTTTTTTTTTTGGGGGGGTATTTTGTGTGTGTGTTAGCCATTTTCAATGGCAAAATGCCCATTCTGTCCTGTAAAGTATCCTACAAGCATCTCAAATTGGCAATTTGGGGATGTTCATTGGTTCATCGAACACAACAGTCGTAACGAAATCATGCATATTCAACAAATGATCCATAGAAAAAATTGATCCGCGTAACAGTCCATGTTTATTTTTAAGAATACAACTTCTGTCAGTAAAATACAACTTTTGGGATTAAGGAATACAGTTTTTGAACTCCAGAGGTTGGCAGGTCTGTAAAGATATCAAATTAAAAAACTTACTATCTAGTCTAAAGATGGAAACCTGTGTATTAAAAGGAACTGGCTATGACATTGCCAAAAATAACAGGCGCATCTGCTTCATACCCAGAGATGCATCAGCTATAGGCAAAACCTGTCTTTGCTCTTTGGAAACTACATGTAGCTGCAATCTGCCTAAACATGGCTGAACTGCATTGGATGGCACTAAAACATAATTTATGCAGAGGCTGCTCTAAAGAAAAGAAAGGCAAGCTTCACTGCCAGACACAACCATTGTTAACCTTAATAAATTCAGGACTCTGGAGCTAATATATTCAGGATCCTCCAGACAGTACCCTGGTACGGTAAATAAAAAGAGCTAGCCGGTATCCTAAAAATGTGGGCTTCATTGTGACAAATAGTCTATTCTTGTGATCTGTTAACATTGTAGTGAACATTCTTGTTGCATTGTTGTCCTATAATAATTACAACTTAAGTGACTTTTTCTCTCATACAGTTATATTTGTTTACCTGATATTCCACATCACATAATGAGTTAGCACAGGTCTAGCAGGTTTGTTTAAAATATAGGTTTTCTTTTGTTTGCAGTGTACCATCAGCGACGACGCCACATGCAATAGCACAGCCACCCTCAGGGCCAGCGTATGCAGTAGCAGCAGGGGGACAGACACACAATTCACAAGGTAAGTCTTGTCTTTTCTAAAAAAAAATACCTACAAGAAACTTCTAAAGTCCCATATATATTTTTCTGGAGAATAATGGATTGTGTTAGCTCAACTGGTCTATTTAAAGTGATGTTATATTGTTTAAGTGGTCCAGATGCAGAGCTGCCAACCAGTGCGATTTTATCCTATTTTGTACAATCTTTAGAAGTAATTACGACAGTACAATTTTTTCCTAAATTAAATACGATTTTCCATATGCATATTGGCAACCATCCCCCCCCCCCCCAAAAAAAAGCATTTTCGCAGTGAGAAAGTACTCGGGGGAAAAGAATAGAATTTTGTTCAGTTGAGGTTGGCAGCTCTGCAGATGTCTGGAGCAATGTGGGCAGCACTTTGTAAGTGCCCAGAAAAGGCACTTTATCAAATACCTTTTGGATTGGATTGGAAAGTATTACACTGGTCTTTCTATAAACTAGTTCATGAGGTATCTACCATATGTATTAACAGTGGGTTATGTTGTTGGGACGAGTGTAGGCGGGATAAGGTCTTTAAGATATATTGGTTTATTTTTTCATTGTACTTGAAGATGAAATTAATCCAATAATACTTCATGAAATGTCTTCATGACAAAGAAATGTGATGGCAAGTAGTAACAAAATATTTCAGAAGATAGGAAGAGATGCAGGCTCTGATAGAGTGATTTGAGGAGGGGGTGAGGGAGGGGGCAATAGTAATGGTATTGATGATATCTTTCCTCTTTGTATAGCGCATATCACATTGGAAACAATGTACAGTATATGATTGTACAGTCTAACCTGCTTTAGTGACCACCTGTCTACAAAGACCACATTTTTTGTTTCCCTTGAAAAAGGTTTCTCATCGAAACATGTAATGAAGGAACCTGTCTACAAAGACCACTTTTTTTGTTTCCCTAAGGCGGTCGCTATAGATAGGTTTGACTGTATTTGATGAAATGTGGGGAGAGATAGGATTGACATGAAAGAGTTAACCAGGAGTCATTGAGGTCCTGTTAAAGTTTAGACGAGACATAAATACTGTATCATTTTGTCTTCATGGTAGGGCCGAACCCAGTAGCGAATCGGGTGGCAGCGCAGCTACCGACGGCGGTGTCGTCTCACATGATGTCCAACAGCATGTCGTTAAGCAGCTCAACTATGGTGCAGTCCCCATCATCAAACCCTCAACACAACAACACTCAGCAGCCCAGACCAGATATGAACGGCCCCCATCAAGGTATGCTTCGACCAAGGGCGGCCAATACTTGAACTTACAAGTTGCAACAACTGCTCAAGGTTTTCATCATAGTTATGGGATTAGGGTTAGGGTTGCAAATGATTATCATTTAAGCTGTAGGGTGAGGGTTATCAATTGTTGTAATGTGTGGTTCAGGGTTGCATTTAGGAATTTGGTTAGTGTGAGACAATGATCCCTTAACATCATCTTGGGAGCATATGGCATAGAACCAATTCCGAGGACTTGCAGTGTGCTAGAAAATTTGATGACAGTAAATACTGTATGAGCTGTGTAATTCGATTTTTATTTGCAGCTTTTTATTTCAGAATTGATGTGCATTGGTATTGCTAAACAAAATAATTATGTAAAGTTCTAAAGAATACCTGTTTACAGCAAATTTAGAACCTCTGCTTTTCCCTACAGCATGTTGTTCTTGGTAGTTTTGTTGTTGCTAGGAAAATTCACCTCTCATATTCTGTCTTTTGTTCTTTCCACGAAAAACAGTATTTGACTATTGATGGAGCCACCCTACTAAAAAAAGACTAATTAATAAAATAAAAATGAAATAATATCCTTTCTGTCTTTTGTTCTATCCTTTCCGAAAAAGGCTTCACAACTTTTGATACCCCAGGTTACAGCATAGAGCTGATCACGAGTAGCGTGGCCAACCTCTCGACCAACAGCACACTGTCATCGTCATCGTCCCACAACACCCACATGTCACACGGTACAGTGCCGTCATCGTCGTCGTCTTCAATCACATCGTCATCGTCGATGCCCTTCATGGTGTCGTCCTTGATGCCCACCCCGTCATCGGCGGTGGAGACCAACGCAGTAGCCACTGCCCTGGCCACCAGTGCGGCCATGCTGACCAAGAGCCCCGACTCAATGGTCAACGGCCCACTCAGCCCGGAAAATAAGGAGGTGAGAAGAGGTTTAGTTGTCTCTCTTGCCGATGACTTATTTAAAAAAGCAGTGAAAGCCATATTAAATTGTTTGTATCTGTTTGTATAGGAAGGTTTAATGTGTCAATATCCTGCCGTTACTACACCTTGTGAAGTCAGTGAAGGTATGTCTAGAAAAGTCGGCCTGTTTCTTGGACCTTGCTTTATCGGGAAGGGGATGGTCATAATGCCTTGCGATCCGTAAATCATTTATATTTAATTTAATATTTACTCTTATTCTGAAATAGAGTTATGAATTATATCATCACTTGAGAACCAGAAGGGTATTGATACTTATTCTTTATCGCAGAGGTTGTGCCCTTCTTGCTGGCTGTTGGCAGACAATATTATGATGTACAAAGCTATTTCATGATATGCATACATGCCAACTGTTCAGATTAAAGAGAAACATTCCTCTTTTTGGGAGAAGATAATTATCATTTTAATGCAGGTGTTCCTCTTCCTGTACAAATTTGTCTGTAGTATTGAATAGGAGAGTTAGGATTGTTCCTCTTTTTTTTTTAAATAGCATAATTTGTACAGATTTCTGATTTTCAAATGTTGGCATGTATGGATATGTTTTGTTTTTCTTGGTGAATAAATAATCTTCCTTGTTTGTGACATGCCTGGAACACAGGCAGATCTTCGGTCAATAGTGATTTGTGATTTGGCGACGTCGAGCTTGTTTTCTTTGTCAAATTGAACTTCTTCTAATATCTCTTCATTGTCTTCTCTTATGTAGGATGACAGCAGCTCAATGTCGACGCTAAAGAATATGGCACAGAAGGTTGTCTTGAGTTCAGGGCTAGAGAACTTCCAGTCGGATCTCATATCAGAAAACATGGGTAAGTGTGCAAATCACTACTGTAGTGGAGGTAGTGTAAGCCTGTGTTTGACATGGAGCCGCAGTAGAAACTAGAAAGAATGAATACGTTAAAAAAAAACTAGAGAAAGTGAGGGAGAGATCGGAGTAGGGAGATGGTTGGTGGAAGATGATGAGAAGAGTTCTGTGACAGTCGCTCTACAGTCACTATCATACACCTGGACCCTTGACCCTTAACCTTACCTAGAACCCAATCCCTAATCCTATCCTGGGAAATGTTTCACAAAGACTAAGATTGACTTTAACTCGACTTTAACTATGGCAAGCCGTTCATGCCACTGTTTGCTCTCACCATTTACTGGCATTGGTCTCTCAAGGGACGTACAAATCGTGATCACAAATCTAGAGAATTTACATTTTTTGATAATTATCTAAAAGTATTATCTAAAGCTCATTATGGCGAGAGCAAACATTGGCATGAACAGCCTGCCATAGTTAAGTCCAACTTGAAGCCAATCTTAGTCTTTGTGAAACACTCCCCATAACTATTATTTTGTCTAGGATGAACAGTTAAGGTTGCTTGTAAGGATTTACAGTGAGGGTTAGGTTTAATGTTGGGTTTTGGGGTGAATTCAGAATTTGTTTAATGTAGGAAAATTGACCCCAGAGCTATTGTCCCGTAGCACGCTTTGTAGAACCTTTTGTATTGATATTTTGCTGTGGTATATGTGCATATTCTTAAGATCTCCTTCATTCCTGTTCCCTTCCGTCATATATACCAGCAGTCTATAACAGTACTTCCAGGAGTGAGAGCCAGGGTCAGTCGACGACGCCCGCCAACAGCACACCTCAGTATCAAGAGACCACCATCCCTCCATTACTGGGCGTGGCACCCCTCGGACCCGTCACGCTATCCAAGGAGCAGAGGCTGCAGCAGAGCGTCATGGAGAGCTGCTTTAACCACTTGCCGCTTCCGTCAGACTCGGAGAGGTTAAGGTAAGCGTAGGATCATATACTACCATTCTGCTGGGCCCTGTTTACAATAACTCTTTTAAGGGAGTCGGGCTAACTCGGACCCGGAGACAACTCGGCCCCGCTGAAAAAACTGTCAATTTTTGCAGGTTTAGGGGTAGGGTTAGAGTTAGGGTTAGGGTAAATTGACAAAAAATTCTGTTTTTGCAACGGGCCGAGTTATCCCCGGGTCCGATTTAGCCCGGATCCATTATAAGCTACTGAAAAAGTAGTATTTGTTTGGCTGAGAGCAGATTTGTCATAGAAATTTAGATTTTAATATTGATAATAAGTTTTATGAAACAGGGTCCAGGATGGTCTAATGGTCTGGGGGGTGTTTCACAAAGATCCTAAGTTGAACTTATCTCTAAGTTGGACTCATTATTTTCTATTATCATGGCAGATTTCATGTTCTTGATGTGGAATTTATGGAAATTCTAAAATACTTGATTTTTCGCTTTTGAATATATTTCATTTTAAGGCTACAAATGGCTCTCCATAACTTTTAAGCTCAACTTAGAGTTAAGTTCGACTTAGAATCTTTGTGAAATACCCCCTGGTGTGATGTTACCAAATGGTCATTCATGACCGTACAGTACAAACCAATACTTATATATGCTAGATGATCAACCTTTTCTGATCAATTCCACAACCATTCTTTTTACAATGCAATCGCATGACCAGAACTCAACTTTATCTTTAATGATCTATGCCTTTGTATTTTGCAGAAATTACCTTCCGAGGAACCCGTGTCCCACCCCTAGCTACCACTGTCAGGTGATGCCTCATAGGATGGGCACGCTAGAGTTCTTCATGAGACTATCGACAGAGACGTTATTCTTCATCTTCTACTACCAAGAAGTAAGGAACCCTTTATATTCAAAGATAGTTGTTCAATATCTATACTCCTCTGTTATCTATCTATCTGTAATACACATATTTTGTTTTCATTTTATGTCAAATCAATTTTCAGTTTCTTTCTTTCCCTAAAGCTACGGTCACAAAGGTTTATACGAATCCCCCTGTTTTTCCATTGTCTTTCCGAATTTCCATTGTCAGTAAATCGTTCGTACAGCGTTCGTAGCAGTTCGTAATAACATTTGTGACCGAGGCTTTAGACTGTTATTGTCTTGTAGTTCTATCACTGGAACTACTTTTTCTTAATTTTTTGTTTTTTTTGTTTCTTTCTTTTTTAAATATTATTATTTTATTTTATTTTATTTTTTTGTTTCATGTGCTTAGATGCTTTTTATTTGCCTGTATTCGTTTGTCCTGCTTGTTGGAATAAAATTCCTGGCTACTGTGAATTCTGGGTAATCCCTTGGAAAGTCAGAACTATGGAATGCCATCTGTGGTGAAAATAAATTATGCCAGTTGATGTAAATGCACACATTGGAAGTACAGGTTCATGTTTGAAAATCTACTTCACACATTTTACCTTTGTATTACATGCTTCAATAATTACAGGATTGATCTTTCAACTCATTCAAATCTTTCTGAGAAGTAAATTTGTAATTTACTTTAAATATTGTGTAAATAGTGTAACTTTACAATATTAGGCTATATTATGAATTTAAATTCATATATTTTTAATGTTTATCCAGGGAACAAAGGCACAATATCTGGCTGCAAAGGCTCTGAAAAGGCAATCATGGAGATTCCACACCAAGTATATGATGTGGTTTCAACGGCATGAAGAGCCCAAGACAATCACGGAGGAATACGAGCAAGTAAGTCTATTCTATCTCACCCCACCTGTCAACTTCAGAGCTTTGTTTTTTGTTTTGTCCCACCGATGTTTGTTTTTTCTGATGTAATGTGCGCTAACCTTGTAGTGAAGAGCCACATCAAGATGAAATGGAGATGAAGATAGACTTAACTTTATTTTGAATTAGCTTTTGAGCAATTAAACAATATCTATATTAACTTCATATGATTTCTCTTTCTTTCTTTTTTTTTTAATTTTTAGACCCATCCTTTCTGAGTAAATTTTTTAAATAATTTTTTATTGAGCATTAGAATTACATACATTATATTTGAAAAGTTTTGGCAATGTCTATAAGATATTTATTACTTATACACCATAATTCATTGTCATTTGTTCCAATATGGAAAACATCTGAACCAGAGTTGAATCTTTGCCTTTCCATCTCATTCCATTTACCAGGGAACATACATCTACTTTGACTACGAGAAGTGGGGACAGAGGAAAAAGGAAGGATTCACGTTCGAGTACAGATACCTGGAAGACCGAGAGCTCTGAGATTCGCTGCACCGCCCCTCGTTGGAACCCCCCTCCAGTCCAGTCTATTCAAGCCACTGTTCGGGCGGGGCTCAGCGAAACGCGTGATAGTAAATGACTCTCAAATTCTGACAGTAGCAAAAAAGCTGACTACGCTTGAAATCCGTTTTTCTCTTCTCCGGGAGTCGGGCCAGGATCCGGCCCGACCAACTTGTGATTGTGTTATTCTATGTCATGTGTACAGTATGTGAATGAAGACGAAACTAAAGGAAGAAACACGACTATGTCTTGGAGTGTACCGATTCCAGATGTGTTTTATCTATCTTGGCATAATTTTACAAGGATATGAAGATGACAAACGACAACCAAAAAAAAATGATAAAAAAAGACGAACTTTTTTTCTAAAAACTTTTTAGCCATGCAGTATACGTCATGCTTTCCGGTTCATGTAAGTTGCCCACTCCTTTCTAATTATTCATACCTCTCTTACTCTTCTTCTCTTTCACTCCTGTCAGTTTCAATGTTTTTATGAGGGAACCATTTTTGTTATTGCTGTTCACTGATATTATAAATTATGCATGTGTAAGTGGTGTCGACATTTTCATGTTGACTTTGTCACCTGTGAACTTTGTGCAAAGAGACCTGTTGATTCTTTAATTTCTAACCAAAGTTGAAATATGTGTGATTCATATTTTTCTGACTATATGAAAGATGATTAATAACCAAACATTAGCATAATGTTTAAAAAAAGGTAAAATCTTGGTTCATATCATTATCATGAGGTCATTCAGCCTTTTGCTATATATCTAAAATAGCTGTAAGTCACAACTCGTTCTTGCCCAAGGATGATCACGTTTGTAGCAAAGTGCGGAATCAAACATGCACATGGTGCGAGTGGGGTAAGGGGCATCAGAGCACCCCACACCCCCTTCCCCGCTACTCAAACACAAACATGCATCCCTTGATCTGTACTTTGTAGGATTTCCACAGATGTGATTACAGACATTTCTTCAGCAAGATGGTATTGTGTGACTCAGAAATTCAATGCTATCTAAACTTTAGCTTCACTCAAACTGAAATACAATGGATGGGACTACAGAAATCTAGCAGAAGATGTATGTTTTCATGTTTGGGTTTTATAACAAAGGCAATCAATATATACTGTTACGATGCTGCACCAGAGTTTTCTGTTCTTGACCCATTCCATATGCTTGTTTGATTACACGTATTTACACATTATTAAGTCACATTACGTACAGTGTATACACTACAGTATCTTTATGGGTCTTTGGTTGAAAAATAATGCAGGGGCATTTAAAGGGTTACCTTGATGTATGAAGTTGTGTTCTCATTGCCTAGGTTAGGGTATGCCGAGTACCAGAAAGGCACAAGTCTGTAAACTTGCACAGGTCATGTCAGCACTTATCTTGTTCTCAAGGGGTTGGGGGACGAGGGATGCAGCCATGCTCTTGGTCTCTGTAGAATGGATAACTGCAGGCTAAAACATCTTGAGGAAAATCTATTCAGGTCATCGTAAAAGATGATGAGATTTTATATGAAAGCAATGTTTATTCCCTCCACACCAGAGCTATGTGTAGTTGCTTGGTTGGTTGCAAGATGGGATTAAGAGGGGCTTTCCCAACATATTTGAGAAAAGCTCAGGTTACTGCCCTCCTTTCAGGCAAAAGACGATATTACATGTATTTGATTGTAACCAAGGAAACTGGAATCGCAATAACGGTTAGTTGATTTTAATCTGTTTGGTTACCAACCCTTGGATATTACCCATTAGAAATTAACTCAAAAAGCATAAAAAGCAATCATTTTATGAGCAAAGGTTCTAAACCTTCATAAAAATGGCCAAGAATAAGCAAGGATAAACCTGTGCAGTGAGATCGCATCTTCCATCATCAAATCTCGAGTCTAAATCACCATCCGCTTAACCATCCACTTACGAAAATGGAAATCTGTTCTAAGATTGTCCGCTGTAACGATGAAAATTGCCAATCAACGAAATGTGCAATCAAAACTTGATTATTGTAGCAAGCACTTCACTGCATTTTTTTCCTTTTGCCGTCGACTTCACCTTATATTGATATTGACGTCCATTTTTTGTTTTCCAATCATTTAGTGATGTATTACACAGTTCCTCCTAATTGTCTGTGTGCTTACCCGGTATGTGCTAGGCTTTGTTCATACATAGATTCTAAAGAGAGGCTGATGGTGTTCAATTATTTGAGGTACATACATGTTTATCGTTTAGAGTCTCATTTCTCTGCCCCCCCCCCCCTTTTTTTTTTTGTCTCTCCTGTTGAGTTATTCAATATATGGAATGGATTGTAGTCTAGTGACATTCAATGCTTCCATGTTTTCAACATTTTACAGTACTAATGCAAGGTGACTTGAATAGGAGATGGAGAGTGAATCTTTGTTCACACATCTTGCTTTTCTGTACTTTTTCTCTACAGTAATTGTCTTGTGCTTTTTGAAGAAGAAAACAAGAAGCATGAAAAATAAATCAAACAGTATTTGAGTTGAGTACTTGCCAGAATGTTGGCTTTCAAATTTTTTGAAAGTTTGGAAACTGACTTGTTACATCTCGTGCTTTTTTGAGTTAGAGAGTACATGTAGGTATTGTAGGGAATCTGAACCTGGACTCTGGAAAATTGTGTTATTGAGAGATAGCTTTCACATCAACGATGTACCGGTAGATGATTGAATACTTGGTTAAAATATTCCTAGGAAGGAACAAATGTAGAGTACAAAATCTAGTACAAATTCACTTCAACCATGCAATAGCCAAACATCTAGGGAGCTTAATAAATTCAAGACAACAGAAAGGAATATATGTTTTCTTTTATGGAACTGAAGTACATGTATTACTTATTAGAGATTAACATATATAATTGCATTTGATATTAACAGCTCTATTTTGCTAGTGTACCCTTCAAGCTTGATTGTCTACTTTCTTTGATTAATTTAACTCAATTTCCAGGTATTATTTTCAGTCCATGATGATGCAAACTCTCTGTAGTTAGAAGTGATCTGCCAAAGTTCCTTTTTTTTCCCCTCTGGAGTATAAACCTAGCAAATAACATTTAATATTATATTTTTGAAATATAATTCTAGAGGGCTAAAAGTAAATGAATAAGATATTTGATGTAGTAGTAAAATTAATTTTTCAATGGAATGTTATTTATATTCATTGAATGTTTAAATTGTTGTGTATTATTATTATTATTGTTATTGTTATTATTCATCACGAAGAAGATGTTCTGAAATTTCAATTTGTTTGAAATGTACAAGGTATTCAATTGAACAAATCATGCCAAATGTAAGATATTATTTCATCGTGAGGAAAGGAGCAAGTGATTATTTCCTCAACACACAGTTTAATAGCTGGTACAATTAATATTGTAATCAAACTAAAAAATTACTGTATAGTGTGATCATTGATGGATTGAAACCAGATGTATTTGTACACTTTAGCACTTTGGATTTTAAGGTAATAATTAAAATTGGTAAATTACCCTTCTGATATTATTTTTTTTAACAATATCAGACTGAAAATCCAGTGTGAGTTGAATCATCACAAGTTATCGCTAATTCTTCCGATTCCAGCTATAAGCTTTAAGTTTGTAATTTCATATTCAAAAGTTATCAGTCAGGACATTTGCATGTAGAACCGGCGTTAAGATGTCACATCGATTGACATTTCAACTCTATATCAATTGCTGTTCTGAACATGCTTTTTTTTTAAATGCTTTATTTGAGAATGGTTGTATTATTTTCTACCTACCGTCAGTGTTCTATGCAAGTTAAAAAGCACTGGATTGAATGAATAGTGAGGACGAAAACTAACTCTGTGCAATCTGGTGTTTCTCCAAAAAGTGCTCTCTCCTTTGTATAAACTGATCTTGTACAGACTTTTGGAGAACATCTTTTATCCTAACCAACTTACATGTATACCCTTTGGTGCCTCATAATTACCATCAACCTCAGAGTAACGTATTCTACCAACTTTTTGTTGTCTGTGCATGTACAAATTTGTCTTTAACACGATCGCAGCTATTTAAAAAAAAATCAACTCTGGCAATTTCAATACACCTAGCAAAGGCTCCACACTAACTTATTTGGAAAGGGAGGCGCCGGATTTGACTTTTTTAAAGGTCTGTATGCATGAGCCCTATGTAAAAATTTGAAACTTTGGGGGTTCAGATCTAGATTTTAGGAGCACATGTGTCTAGGGCGTCTGTCAATGTTGGAGGGCCCTCTATTGTGCATACCATAGAAATCAAGTTCGGATTACGTAATATGTCATTGTCAATTACATTGTATGCACATATCAATAGGTGATGCACAGGGCTATTGAAATTGCCTTTAATAGATATTTTTATAAAGTAGCTGCGATCTTGTTCTTTTGATAATTAGCCTTTATGGATGAAAAATACTGTTGTACCGACTGTGTTAAATCTGAATATATATTTATAATGATTTATATTCAGAAAAGAAAAACTACATTTATCAGAGTTAAACACAGGTAATGCTATTAAAGGTTATATTTACATCATAATGACCATGCAAAGAGCATGGAAAAGCACTCCTTGTCAAGTACTTAACATAGCACTGCATCTCATATTTTTCATTTTGTCTAAAAATCTGACACATTAATTTTAACAAATGGGATTTTTTTTTTTTAATCTAATTGTTATAAAAGGAAATGCCTTCTTCATAATATTGCACTATGTTTTGTTCATATGCAACCAACCCATCAAAATTTTACCAAGCCTGTTTTTTTTTATATGACTGAAATTGTTAAGAAATGGAGTATCTACCAATTGCAGATTTATTCAAGTGGGGTTAAAACAAATACTTTCATCAGCCATATTATAGAAGCCATACAAATCAAGGCTCAATACATTTATCTTTCTGGCATATGCTGAAATGAGCTCAAAATTATATATTTATATACAATTGCCTATCATTTCAATGAGTATATAATTATGCAGCATTGAAAAGCAATTTTGGTTACATTAAAGCTTACTTCTCAGTGATAACCAAGTACACAGTATTCAGAGCGAATTTGCTCTAGTTATCTCCAAAGTCTGATATTTCTGAAATATAATTTTTTTTTCTTTTGCTCTTTTTATGACCTGCAAGTGGTAGATACTTTATGTAAATCTACAGGTTTTGGCATAGTCACCACACTTAAGTATGAACATTGCAGTATCAATGTAGTTTTTCATGAACATGCTATCCCCTGAGGTGAAAAAATGTGCAAACTACTGACTACACCTCTACTGTTTATAGAGGATATATTACTTAAGAAACGGTGTGCACATTGTAGAATGTGCTTAAGTATTTTTGTAATCTCAGTCAACCTATTAACAGTGTCTCTGCAGCGATTTGTGAACGCTATCACAGAGTTCCAGAAGTATAAAAATGATTTCTTTGTTCATTTTGTTACACTTCTGGACGTTTCATGTAATTGTCATCCATGTTGGTTTTCAGTGACATTTCTATTTCGGTAAAAAGGTTATTCCCTCATCTTTTCCTTTACATGTCTTCTCACCTTTTTTTTTCCTACTGTCCATAGATTTTTGTATGTGTATTTTGTGATACTGTCGAGATGTTATTTTTTGTTTCCTCTTTCTATCGTTATTTTAAGTGGCAACGATTTACAGGGATGTTTTTATCCCTCTCCACGAAAGGAGTGAGAAACCTACTGACGGAAATAAAAACTACTTTGCTGGCAAATTATTCCAAACTGTCG